CATACAAAGAAAGTTCTATTTTCCGAACTTGAGCGACCCTCTGGATTCTGTGTGATTTCATTTATTTAGAAGGGTGTCCTCTGAAATACCTTACTGAGAAGGAAATCAGGTAAATATGTGACATTTAACATGCCCCTAAACATGACATTGAACAAAACATAACTGTGATTGGTCACTTTTCAGATGACCTCTTCCTGACTAAGTGAGCAATCGTTGGCAATTTCAGTGGCTATAGAGCCCAAACCTTATGTCGTTAAACCATGGTCTGACTCCATGAGACTAGAATTAGGATTAGGGATGGGATGGATTTATGACTATAATTTGACTACACTTGACATTGTTCCAGGTCCAACAAAGGGTGTCAATCCCACTTGTCCTGCCTTGGTGCCAAATAACCTTATGGATTGGGTCATCGTGAACAGTGGGTTTAACTTGAGGTACTGCCCTTGAAATAAACTGTTACCACCTTACTTTATAGTTGGTAAGCTCCTCAGTAGTGAAAACATGGATTCTTTAAGCACAAATAGATTTCCCACTATTGACTACAATGCCCTTTATAGCCCACAACTATGAGCCAAAAGGTAAAGACAGTAGAGAACACACTAACCCTCTAGTCGTCCAATCTCTTTGCGATTGTCCTTGCAGTAGGACGAGACTTGTTGAATAGCATCCTCAGTGTCGCCTAGTCTATTCTCAAGTCGTGACATTCTTTCCAACAGTTGTGTAACTTTAATGTCCAATGTGTAATGTCCCACATTAAGCCTGTGGATAGCCTGATCCATCGCTGCCAGTCTAGACACTGCAAAAATGTATATAAATAGACAAATGTGAATCAAGTCTTTCATTAGTCAGCTATGCTGCATACCAGTGAATGAATAGAATATCAAGAAACTGTGTTATGGAGGGGGAAGGGGTTGACAAGGTAGCTGAAGATATAGACAGTCTGGATTCTTGAAGAGCCTTCAATAGCAGTTTCTTAGATAGAATCTTAGTTCATCAAAAGACTTAAATTATACCCAGAGTATTAAATATTTCCATACTAACAAGCCTTCATGTCATGTCAGGACAAACAACACCTTCATTTGTGCAAGTAAAGGCACAGGCTGTTATTGCAAGTGAAATATATGCAAATATACATTCCGTTGTATTGGTTTTGGCTTGCATTTCTGGCACTTCAAACGGAAGAGTGTAAGTGAAGTGAGTGTTTGGTTAACGCACGGATGTAGTTGTAAGTGCTCTCCATTTCAGAGACGGCAGTGGTGGGTTCAGGTTCTATGATGTCTGGAGTGTCCCCTCGCCCTCTAACCACCTCCTCATTGAACACTCTCGCCTGTAGAATTGAACGACAACAAAACCAGACTTAAAGCTGGAATTCACTACACAACCTCTGCCCATATTTTTGCCCCAATTTACACTCTGAAAGAGTCCACACTAGTTGGCAAAATTCAGGGCCAGTCAGCAGATTTTGAGCAATCACAGATTTCACAGAAAATTGCATAATATATGATGACCACAGACTTAGATTTTTTTAGCCTCAGACTATGAATCCATTCATCGGCACGGAATCAAACATACAGGTGCATCTCAATAAATTAGAATGTCATGGAAAAGTTCATTTATTTCAGTAATTCAACTCAAATTGTGAAACTTGTGTATTAAATAAATTCAATGCACACAGACTGAAGTAGTTTAAGTCTTTGGTTCTTTTAATTGTGATGATTTTGGCTCACATTTAACAAAAAACCCACCAATTCACTATCTCAACAAATTGTAATTCTTCGTAAGACCAATAAAAAAAACATTTTTAGTGAATTGTTGGCCTTCTGGAAAGTATGTTCATTTACAGTACATGTACTCAATACTTGGTAGGGGCTCCTTTTTCTTTAATTACTGCCCCAATGGAGGTGATCAGTTTGTGGCACTGCTGAGGTGGTATGGAAGCCCAGGTTTCTTTGACAGTGGCCTTCAGCTCATCTGCATTTTTTGGTCTCTTGTTTCTCATTTTCCTCTTGACAATACCCCATAGATTCTCTATGGGGTTCAGGTCTGGTGAGTTTGCTGGCCAGTCAAGCACACCTACACCATGGTCATTTAACCAACTTTTGGTGCTTTTGGCAGTGTGGGCAGGTGCCAAATCCTGCTGGAAAATGAAATCAGCATCTTCAAAAAGCTGGTCAGCAGAAGGAAGCATGAAGTGCTCCAAAATTTCTTGGTAAACGGGTGCAGTGACGTTGGTTTTCAAAAAACACAATGGACCAACACCAGCAGATGACATTGCACCCCAAATCATCACAGACTGTGGAAACTTAACACTGGACTTCAAGCAACTTGGGCTATGAGCTTCTCCACCCTTCCTCCAGACTCTAGGACCTTGGTTTCCAAATGAAATACAAAACTTGCTCTCATTGGACCACTGGGCAACAGTCTAGTTCTTCTCCTTAGCCCAGGTAAGACGCCTCTGACGTTGTTTGTGGTTCAGGAGTGGCTTAACAAGAGGAATACGACAACTGTAGCCAAATTCCTTGACACGTCTGTGTGTGGTGGCTCTTGATGCCTTGACCCCTGCCTCAGTCCATTCCTTGTGAAGTTCACTCACATTCTTGAATCGATTTTGCTTGACAATTCTCATAAGGCTGCGGTTCTCTCGGTTGGTTGTGCATCTTTTTCTTCCACTCAACTTTCTGTTAACATGCTTGGATACAGCACTCTGTGAACAGCCAGCTTCTTTGGCAATGAATGTTTGTGGCTTACCCTCCTTGTGAAGGGTGTCAATGATTGTCTTCTGGACAACTGTCAGATCAGCAGTCTTCCCCATGATTGTGTAGCCTAGTGAACCAAACTGAGAGACCATTTTGAAGGCTCAGGAAACCTTTGCAGGTGTTTTTAGTTGATTAGCTGATTGGCATGTCACCATATTCTAATTTGTTGAGATAGTGAATTGGTGGGTTTTTGTTAAATGTGAGCCAAAATCATCACAATTAAAAGAACCAAAGACTTAAACTACTTCAGTCTGTGTGCACTGAATTTATTTAATACACGAGTTTCACAATTTGAGTTGAATTACTGAAATAAATGAACTTTTCCATGACATTCTAATTTATTGAGATGCACCTGTACACCTAGGATGTCTCGATTGAGAGTAAAACACAAGCTAATTTTCATTTTTTTGGGTGAACTAACCCTTTAATGCTTCTTAAGTAATGTGATTGCTATTTTAGGATGTATTGTAGCAACCAGAAATGAATGCCCTTGACTTTGTTCCCACTTTATAAATGCAGATGCATGTTGAACTAGTTTCATCATTCCAAAGCAATACAGTAACCCCAAGTAGAAAACCATAGTGTTCATGGTAGCATCATGGTACAGGGATGGCATCATATGGTAATACCCTGGTACTTTGATGTATTTCAAGGTATTTACATTATACTATAAGGCACTTAAAATAATACCATTCAATTAGCATCATGGTAGGTTTTCAAAGACACATTTTGTAAGTGAAACTTAATACAAAATTGTTTAAATGGAAATCATTAATTGAGTTCATATATTAAGTTATATTAAACAGTAATTGGATCATTTCCCACGAAGTAAATGTAGAATCTTAACCTGAGACAGATCAGCTGTTGTGATGGCCGGTCTTGTGGTGTTCTCGCCAGAGTAACAGGAAGACAGAGCGCCGAAGCCCACTACAGCCGCTAGAATCACTGTTAGACTCATCTCCACTTGAAATCACTTCACTTCATAAATCCCTTTCTTCTTTTCAGCCAGCTCTGTTTTATTGTATATATACACAACTCCTGATGTTCACTCAACGGCAACCTTCTCTCCTCCTTTCACATTGCTTTCAACTCTGTCTCGCTCTATCGTTCACCTCTATACAGCTCTGTTTTGTTTTAGCCTCCTCCCTCTCTCTGCAGCTGGCGGACACTTTCCCTCCTCCTCCTTTCACCTTGTCTGAAAGATTATTTTTTTCTTTCTCTCTCTCTCTCCCTCCTTCTGTTTTCTTTCTTTCAGCTGCTTCACCCTGAGAGTTTTATACCCAAACTTAATTCCTCCCACTTCCATTCTTTGTGCTAACATAGCAGTTTTACTGACACAGCTTTCTCCCTCTTTCATAAACATTTATTCATTTTCTTGCCCAAGACTCAGCTTTCTGTGATTTTTTTTTTAAATGCTTTTGTCCCTTGGGAACATGCTGTTCTCTGGAAGTCAATAGTGGCCGAATGACAGGAAAATGATGAACGTCTCATTACCAGCTGAGTCCTGTCTCCACACATGGAAGGAATTTGGATTTCTCGACCTCTAAACAGGACACTTCTCTCTTTCTTGCTCACTTCCTCTGGAGGAGACTTTGGAAGGGAGTTAGATCTAAGAAAGGAGTTTTGCCCAAAAGAATCCAGTTCATTACATAAAGTCTAACTAAGCAAATCTCTCCCAGATGACTGTGTCTAGACATTATACGGTACAAGAAACAGATAAACAGCTTAGATGTCTACCTTTGACAAATAGCAGTTAGAAAGAACTCCAAAACATTGGATATCTATTATTGTTAGACTGATCTAATCCACGTATAAACTGAACTCCTTTCAAATAATCCAGATATAGCAGCCAGTCAGGAACCGGAACACTGTGTGTTATGGATATAATCAGATGTTACCCAAAAAAACTTTCAATGTTAAATGACCTCTTGGAAAACTACAGGGCCACTTTCCAGTCAGAAACTAACAAGGCCTTTTTTAAAACATGTGGTGCAATAACGTCAATCCCTCCAAATAAAAATGATTGCCTGAGGAAATAAAGCATATTAGGAGCATTTTGAAAATGCCACATATGTGACCCAATTACATTAGCGCACATCCAATGGTTATATTTTACTAAAATAACACTGCGGGCAGTGAAGTGACAAAAGGCAGAAAACTGTCTTGGGATTTATGAATAGAGCTCCATCTTTCTGTTTTCAATTACTACCAGCCAAGAGAAGAATGAGACAAACAACAAGAGTTAGTGTACCTCTTTTATTGTACTTCTCTTCCATTACAGATATATGAATGCATAAATACTGGCTCCAGGCCATGCATTTCATATTCAACAAAAACATCTCGCAACAAAGCTCCAAAAATGATTCCTACCCTTGAACCCTAGTTAGTTTAGCCCTGCATCATGCAACAGACAAGTACGTGAATGCTTCTGGCGTCGATTTTAAACATCCAAAATCAAGCATTCTGAAAAACATCAAACGCAAGTGATCAGCAAGTTAATTCAACTATTCAGCTGACCTGAACAATAAAACATTCAGTTTCAGCTAACTCTATCGCCCCCTTGAGTTCTGGAGTTCGTTGATGCCGCAGTAATGCAATAACACCCATTTAATGTTGCACCCACATTTGCCGTATTTGCATGGAGTATGGGCCCAACAACGAATGGAGATTTGAACTATTGCTTTAAGTTACTAAGCCACCTCTGGTGTACTGGGTTAAGGGACAAAGAAAGGAAGCATTTAGGAGAATGAGGAGAAAAGTCAATGATTCATTTCAACGCATACAATGAAAGTAGCACGCATATAAAAGGCCTACAAAACAAGCAAGGCGCAAGACATCTCTTCAAAACCATGCTAGCGCTACGGTGTCTCATTTAGGTCCTTACTAATAAATGTACAGTGAAGCATCTTAACACTAGTATTGAGGTCTAGATAAATATAGATACAAAATGATGGCAGTGACGGTGATGTGGCATTCACACTATAGTGGATTTAGTGTGGATCGGAGTTCTGGCTTGTTTGATTAATGCATCTTCCAAACTTCTGTAAACACGCACTTGTTTTGGAGTCTGAAAACGTGGTTTTGGGTTTGTTTTCATGTGAACCACAGTATGGTTTGTGGTTGATGGGAATGCAATCCAGAAGCGGGCTGGTACTAATTAAGTATATCGTGCCATTTTGGTAGTAACAAAAATCAAAACACTGTTCTGCAACTTTAAAGATTTCAAACTTTGTTGCCTGGATACATGGGATAAACCGCTTTTGGTGGTTCTAATGTTGAAAGTGAAAGAATTTTTGCACAACATACCACAGTTTAGAATAACAATAACAGTGGGAAAGCAGATCACCAGGGCCAGGAGAGTAGAGCCAAAGGGTTCTGACTCGAGCAAATGTACCAAGTGTGAAATCAACTAAAGAAAAAGCCTACCCGTTGTATCATAGCTCACGCTTTCAGTAACAGTAACCAGTGAGATACAGTTTAATACAGTCGTAGAGATATTGATGCACTAGAAATAAACTACTAAAGCGTTTGGATTTAAAAGGAAAGTGTTCTGTAGTGTTGGGTTTGTGGTGCTTGTAGGTGCTGTCATCTGGAATGGGTTCTTCGGGATATTCAAGCGTTACCAGTTGTCCAAGAAGTCAAATCCAGTCTTCAGGATATTACTGCTTGTGTTAAACTGAAAAAAAGAAATGCAACAATTTACGTGTTGTCAGTGGTTAAAATGTTTGAGACAAAAAAAAAATCTAATTTAGACATTTCTATAATTTATTTTATACAACTTTTGAATATATATTTCAAAACGTGCAAATTCTTACACATACTTTTTGTATTCATGTTGGTTTTGGTTTTAAAAAACATTTTTTTGACTGACCTAACGTCTTTATAAAAACCTCAAATTATCAAATATTATATCTCATTGATACAATTTTCTGTTTTGGATCACATGATTTTGATTGGTCTTATTATTATATCATATAAGCAGTTTTGTTTAAATATTTAACATTTTTTCTAAGAAGTAATAATACAAGATCCAAACTTCTTAAGCTTTTCTTTTTGAAGAACACGGTTAATTTAAGCATTTTCTGATGCATTCTCATTTTTCATTTTAATACACTCTTAAAAATAATGGTTCCAAAAGAGGATTTTGGCAGTGATGCCATTTTGGGTTCCCCAAAGAACCCTTCAGTCAACAGTTTTTAAAATAATAATTTCTTTTTCCAGAATAAAGAACATTTTTGTGCAATGAAAAGTTCTATGAATGTTAACATGTTCTTCATGGAACTACAGATGCCAGAACCTTTATTTTTAAAAATGTATCAAGACGTTTATGGTTATGGACTTTATGCCACCAACACACAAAATATTAAAACATGCAATTCATTCAATTAACTATGTATGAATTTCATTTTAATGTACTGAATGAATAATATCATGAACATCAAAGTATTTACCCACACACAACTGTCTGTCTTTATCTAACTACATGAAATGAAGGTGAAATTCCATCCAACCTGTGAGAAGGTAGGACTTTCTGCCTTGTCGGCATCTTTGACTGTGCTGTTGGACTGAGAGGAAGACCTGGTGACCAGACCAGGACTGAACACATCCTCCATAGTGCTTACAGAAGGAAGAGTGCTCTGGGCCCTTTCCCAGCCTTCCTCTGAGGACGACACGGGAGCAGGAGGTGTCGGGGTCACGCTGATCGCCACAGGGGTCACGCTGATGGGAACGGGGGGCGGAGGGGCATGAGGTTTGGTGATTCTCTGCTGAACCGGCCGCGAGGCAGGCGCATCCTCTGACTCCCTCGGCCCAGACTCTGACCTCAGGTATGACGGCAAAGGCTTCTCTCCTTTCTCCAGAGACTTGATCTGGCTGGGCGTCAGAGACTGAAACTCAGCCTTCTCGCCCTCTAGCCGCGAGCGTTCAGCACTGATCTTCCAGAAGGACGACTCGTCATTGCTGGGCAGCTTGGTATTCTGAGAGGGCTTGGGTTTGGATTCGTTAGCTGAGGAGGGAACGGCCGGTTCTGGAGCACCGGAGATGATGCTGAAATCCATCTGACTCTGTTAGGAAGGGACGGGCTGAATCACATTTGTTTGCTCTTTGCTAGCAAATTGAAAATGTATTTTTAGCAGAGGTGGCCTACTTACCTTGGTCTCCCAAGAGAAGGGAGCCGAGTGCTCATCTAGCCAAGTTAAGTCCTTGAAATAAAAGAGACAAGAGATGTGAATAAGCCATAAGATGTGACATCACTCCTTAAAGCCCCGTTCACGCTGCCAGCGACTTTTTCGCTGTATGTCGCTAGACTGTGAAGACGCTTGTGGGCGTTCCTACTGCTGTCGCTCTAATGTTATTGGCAGACTGCACGTCTGGACATATCAAATGCAATCACAAACTATATATTGCCGGTAAAACTAAGATATCATTCTATTATGACTAGGAATTAGACTTAAAACTAATAAAAGTACCATTCTGCTGTTGGAGAGTGTTGTTATATAAACTACAGCAGTGCTCGTGCATTAAATCATTAACCGGTGCTAAACTGCTCACTGCATCATGTAATTAACAACTCGAACCATCAATGTATGAATCAATCTCACTTAGACAGCCAATGGTTTCTTTTCTACGCATCATTTTTTTTAATCCATGTATGTGGTTACAGTACAATCATATAAAGTGAGAGTGTAACGTTACAGGTCGGCCAATCTGGTTTCGTGGTTAAAGTTAACCTTTTCGACATGTTTCCGTGTTGTCGTTGCTCAGCAATGGCATGGACGCGATGTTGTCTGGGGGTTTGGCAAAAGGAGAGTGGGACGGTGGGCGGTACTCGGGGTGGTGACTGAAGGCGGTGACTGTGTAGTTCTGACGTCAACTTTTTACGGAAGTCACAACGGTTCGTGAAAAATCACAGCTACTTTATGCAGGCTGTGTGCATTTTACTGTGGACTGACTGTTTTGAAACTTATATGGTAGTTACATAGCACATAGACCTCAGTAATCGTGAAAAAAGCCAGGAAATTTCAGTTTTGACAATATGGGACCTTTAACACACCCACAATCTGTCGCTCGTGTCGCCAGCTCTCCACTGAAAATGAATGGGAGCATGTCGCTTTGTGTCGCTGGCAGTGTGAACGGTGCTTTGCCATTTCTGCATTGAACAGGGTCAGAAATACAGGAGTACTCAAAAAAAAAAAGATAAACCAGACTATCACAAAATATAATACATAATTTGCAAATGTGGCACCGATTTCTTTAATAGGTGGTTCATAGATATTTAGTAAATAGTTGAATTTATCAATATTTGGTAGAGACTGCTTTCATAAACACTGTTAATATATAGAGTTCTAAGAGATTTGTTCGGTGAACTGAATGAAGATATTCAAAACTGATTTTTTTAGTAAAGTTTAACTTGTTTAGTAAGCTGTTTAAAGTACAGATATTTGGAATATCTGACATACACTGAGAGATTTTAAGTATAGTTGATAAGAGATTTCAGTAAACAGCTGAACAAATAGAACCGAGAGGTTTGTCTTTTAAACTAATCTTTATGTATTTGACAGAAGTTTAACGAGTGAAAAACTAACTCAAATTTGACTACTGTTGAAGTTAACACTTTAATGAATATATATTTCACTTTTTTTAGCAGCTGGTTTAATAACATTTTTGTTTAGTAAACTGTTTGATTTTGACTTACATTATTTGGCACATGAACAAGTAGGTATAATATTATATAAAATCAATTACATGTAACTAGAAGTAAAAGAAAACCAAGAATTAATAGCAGACAGGAGGTTTGTTGTTATTTGTTCATATCATAACGTTCACTGTTTTGGATTGACAAGCCCTTTATTACTAGAGCAAACCCAAAGCAGGTCTACACTGAACCAACAATAACAGCTCTAACTCAACACACGACAGTCCCAAACATCAGCACCTCTTCTCCGAAGTGAACGGTCTTCTGTCCGGTCTGGAGCAGTAGTTTCGGGAAGCAGATCAGCTCTTCTCGCTCCACCCGGTGCATCGCGTACCGAGCCCGGATCCGCGGGTCCATCATCCCGTTGTCTATCGCCGTGTCCTGTTCGCCCGGACTCATCTGATCCCAGGCAGAACCGTGCCTCTCCTTTATCTTCTCCCTCTCCTCCACAATCTTACGCGCCATGGAGTTGATGGAGGAGAAATATTCCATCTTCTTGGCCTCCGTGAGGAGCGGGTGGTCCGCCACAGACCCTGCCATCGCCGCGGCCGCCATTTCCTCACGCGCTGACGTACACACAAGACTTTTATTCTGCTTTCAGGTTAAAGTGCGTCTTCAGAATGATTCATTTGGGTGGAATGTAACTTTGTGGACATGTACAAGCAAAAACACATACATAAATGGATTTTCCATTCCCAACCTTTCTAGTTGTTAATTTTAATAGACATTATATATATATATATATATAAGTGTCGTAAGCTCATTACTATGGAGGACGAAACCTGCAAAAACAATAAATAAATACACAAATAAATAAATAAATGTGTGCATAAATACACGTATTCTTGTTTAAATACATAAATAAATAATTATATATGTGATGAAAGTAGGCAAATTAATTTTATTATTTATTTATTTAGTCATTTAGTAGACGCTTTTATCCAAAGCGACTTACTAATGAGGACAACAGAAGCAATCAAAACTAACAAAAGAGCAACAGTATATAAGTGCAAATGACAAGTCTCGGTTAGCCTAACGCAGTACACGTAGCAAGGTGTATATATATATATACACATATACATACATACACATATATACACATACACACACATATACACACACACA